GGAAGCTCAGATTAAGGCAGGTCAAATAATTTTCCCAAAGCCACCTAGAGACTTGTACAGTGGAAGTTTAGAACCAGGGCTGTCTGAACCCAAAGCCTGTGTTCCTAACCTTTAAAGCACATCACTTTCCTCTTGCCTCCACCTAAACCCTATGTACAAGTCATCCCATACTTTTTAAGTGTTTTTTGAGGAAGCTTGGTAAGATTTTGTCTTCCTGGGTTTAATAAAGTTGCTATTCCTGCCCAGAATGTTCACCTCTATACCTCTGCCTTCAGTCTTACTTTTTTTTTTTTTTTTTTCAAACAGAGTCTCACTCTGTCACCCAGGCTGGAGTACAATGGCGTGATCTCAGCTCACTGCAACCTCCTCTTCCTGGGTTCAAGCGATTCTCCTTCCTGAGTCTCCTGAGTAGCTGGGACTACAGAAGCATGCCACCATGCCCGACCAATTTTTTGTATTTTTAGTAGAGACAGGGTTTCACCATGTTAGCCATGGTGGTCTCAAACTCCTGACCTTGTGATCTGCCTTACTCAGCCTCCCAAAGTGCTGGGACCACAGGCATGAGCCACCACATCCAGCCCAGTCCTACTCTTATACTTTCTCTGACACCACCAACTCTAGACAAAATTATTTCTCTTTTCCCTGTGATCCCCTGCTTGATTGTCACAAAAATCCCTCTCTTGCATCAGAGTCTGAATTCTTTCATGATGGAGACAACTCGTCTTTGCTCAGTTCTTCACAGCATTGTAGCCCTGTGGTTTATATTTATCCAAAATAGTCCAAATGTTTTTTGAGAATATACTCTGGGCAAGACAGTGCTAGTTACTATGTGAAAAAGACATTAAAGGCCCAGTTGCTATCCCCAAGAGGTAAGCATGCTAGTGTGACAGGTAGATACACAAACAAAGGATTTCAAAGAGAGATAAATGTACAGGGTCCAAGGTACTATATAAGCATATCTTTGAGTTAATTTCATGAATGCGTTCTGCAGATGTATAACATTGCCCATGCATCGATCCCTCACTGGTGAGCTAAGAGCTTTGCATGCATGTTTTCACAGGCTTTGGGATGTTGCTTCTCCACTCCTGATGATGCTTCTACATGGAAGGAAGCCTATTAGCAAAATGCTCACTGTTTTTCTCCACACCCATACCCAGTTTCCCCCAGGGACAAAGTGTGATTTGACATGACTGAAAGGGGAAGTCAGGCATGTTTAGGCTGGCCTCATCCTCACCTCTTGTGAAGGAGTGTGCCTGCAGAGGATGCATGTTCCCTATTGCTCTCAGCTATATCGGGGAGCTCAGCCTCGTGTTGCACTGACGATATCACACATCAATTGTGTACCATGATTCTACTCACTCTCTGACCCAGTGCCTTTTGTGATGCTTGGGGGCCTTCTTAGACTGAAAGCAAGGAAGCTCAGAAGCATGGAAAACAACAACAAATCCAAGGTGGGATCCACGGATCAATGTTCCAGCCTCCCCTGCTTCACTGGATAAGCCTAGGGGTGGGGGTATAACAATGTGTCCTTTAGGTTATTTTGCTGAAACATAACAACACACACTTACATTGGCTTTCCCTTTTTTTCTCTTTCTTACTCTCCCTATTTTCTCACTCCTTCTTTCTGGAACACCTCTCAAACAAACTACCTATATCCAAGTTCTTGCCTTAGGCTCTGCTTCCAAGAGAACTCAAATTAAGACAGATAACATGAGGACATGATTTATAATCCATCTCTCAGCTCTGTAGTCTCAGTATTGGTTCCATTCCAAGAGGCATTTTCCCAAGGGCACCTGAGAAATGGTATGAGTCACTATGATTGGTCCTTGCCCATGTTAAATTGAATCTTGGGCCAGGGAGTTGGGATGTACCAGTTAGCTGAGCTGAGTTCCATGCTCAGCCCAGAGCTGGACATTGTGATCAGCCTCACCAGTGTCACATGTGCAAACAGTCAAAGTATGTTTTCATGGAAAATGAGAGTTAAATTACTAAAAGGAGGGAGAATAAATATTAGGTAAGTCAAACAGCTCATTAAGAAAACCACCAAAGAGTCCCTTCAGCTATAGATAGCACAGGTGACTCTGACAACAGAAATGAGAAAGAAGCATCTTTACCAGGGGAATGATAGCATTGTATTTAGGATTGGAAGTGATCTGGGATACAATTTCACCCAAACTTAAATTATTAGAAAAGTTCAGAGAGAGACTAAGCCCATTAGCTTGAAGTAGTCCAGACAACACTTGGAAGTTCTGGATTAGAAACCCAAGGCTCTAACCTTCCAGTGCAGAATCAAGGTCCTTCTATTTGCCCATTCTTCCCTCCCAGTGGCTGCTTCCTCAGAGAGCCCAGCATCTCAGAATTGCAAAGACTATAGAACCACGATTTAAAAACAACATATTATTATAAAAATAATAGGCTTGGCTAGAAGACAGGTCTCTTTCTGAATTTACTAATTCAGACTATTAAGTCTCATCTGTGTCTACAAAGAAAGATAGTGACTCTTGATTTCCTTAGCTTATAAGGCTATATTTCTTGCTACACACATAGTCCCTGGGACAGTCCCTGACTCGGCTCTCAGCTGCCCTGCTTCCATGATGATTTAGCAAACAGCAGAGAAAAGAGACTTGAAGGGAAGGAGAAAACGATTTGGCTGGAAGCCTTCCCAGCAGAGGTGGGTTTTTCTTCAGCTTTGAAAGACAGGACAGACATAGGTTGGCTGAGAAGGAGGTGCAATGTGGGGGTGGGGAGACAGAGATAAGAGTGTTTAGGGAAGGAGCATCTTGTTTTGAAGTGGGAACAAAGGAATTGAATTTGAATGAATAAATAAATCACAGATGATTAGGGTAAAGACTATAATATAAATTTCAACATCCTTGACAGCATGAAGTGTTGCCTACAGAATGAAGCTGTGGAAGTGGAGGGGAGGGGAAATGAAGGAAAGAGAAGCTAAATTTAGCAGACACTATCAAACAGTAGAAAAAGAGTTTAAGCTTATTATTAGAGTTACAAAGAGAACCGACAAAACTTAAAGCACAACGATATTACTAGCAAATGCTGGGAAGAGGATGGAATGAGAAGGGAGAAAAACAGTAAATCAAAAAATATGGTTTCAAGTATTTCTTTTTCAGATTTCAGAGCAAAGCATGATTTCAAGAGTCATGGAGGCCAACAATAGAATAAATAAAGGCAGAAACAGAGTGGAAGAAAGGCTGTTTGTGAGTAGTGGCATTAAGAGTGAGGAGAGGGAAATATTCACTTCCACCGTGAGCTTTACTGTGCTGTTTGAACCATAACCATGTGCATGCTTTGCTCTGATATCTGAAAAAGAAATTCCACAATTCAGCAGCTGCCCCATTGGCATGAACTGTGTTTCTATTCTGTACCCAGCACTGCACTTGGCCTGGGAATTAGAAGATGAATGAAAGAACAAAGCATTAAGTGTTATAAGGGAAGAGCCTTTCTGGTTGGGAGAAGTGTAAGAAGGACATTAGAAAGAATTCCCAAAAAAGTAAAACAGAAGATGGATATTGAAAATGAAGAACAGTCCATCAAATGATTCAGCAAGTGTACTAGAGGCAGATGCCAAAATACCTAAAATCACAGAGGCATGGAATGCAATGAAATCATCTAGCAACTGCAGATTGTACAATTTTGCATATGCATTTGGTGCTAAATTATAATACCGCAGGGATAAATCAGCCCAAATAAGGAGGGGCTTATGATCATATTAGGAGTTCTGAATTGTCTTCTGCAAACCAAGGATCACAAACTCAAATACATAGCTCACTCAGTCAGATTCTCAAAAATAAGAGAAGAAGAAGGGGAAAGACAATGGTAAATGAAAGAGCACGTGCCTGAGCTGGGCAGAAGGTGCAGGTGGTACAGCAGATTGTTGCCGAGTTTTTCTAGTTTTGAAAATAAAGCTAGGAATCAAGATTTTTATGTGAAAACTGTTGGCAATTTTATTAGTTAGGCTACTTTATGCTGTGTTATGAAAACAACAACAAAAGCTCTAATGCTCAATGGCATACCATTAAAAAGATTTATTTTTCACTCACACAAAGCCCAGATGGGTAGAACAGCTCTCTTCCATGTTGTATCTATGTCAGCAGGGACCAAGGGTCTTCAAGGTCATTGAACCAAAGGTGAAGAAGTACATTGCCTCTTAGCAGCATTGACCCAGGCACTTACTAGCTGGAATGAGTTACTTGCCCTCAATCTAAATTTAAGGGAGACTAGGAAATATCATGGCCCACATGGGTATGTAATGAGCACTCAATATATCTGTCATGCCAACTAATACAATCATTTTATTTTTAAATACCGTATGATGCCATTAATAATGGTTGGTTTTGGCAGAAGAGTGGGCAGTTTAAGAAGATCTCTGCCACAGTCAAAGATTGGAGATACTTTAGAAATATCACATTTTCATTTCACAAAAAATAATTCCAGAAGCTCTGTGGAAGATCGACCAGAAGGGCAACACTAGAGGCAGGATGGTTATTGAAATTGCCTGGAGACACACTATTGAGGAGCTGAAACAGGAAAGGAATAATCGGAACAGGAAAGAAGAGGTGCTCATAAGTGCTATTAACTCTTGGTTTACATCCTTGGTTCATAAGAGGAGGATGTCCACAAAGTTTGTGTGACTTGCCCAAGGTTGCAAAGTTAATAAGCAGCTGTTCAAAACATTAATCCAGCACACATTTTATCCCACTGGTAGAATGGTCGAAAAAAAACTAGTGGAAATATAAAATCTTTGACTTTGAGAACTAGGCTTTCGGGAGCTTATCTAACCCAAACACTCAATGCCATCAGATGTTCTTCATCGCTGATTTTAAATGTGAACCTCCTGAAAGATATTACTTTCTTCTTAACTTATAAGACCTGCCAATGGGTAAACATCAAATAGATAATGTATTCATTTTCCAACCTTGATTTAGACTTTTTCTATTGCTTCTGGGAAATCTTTAGCTTAAGAAATATTTTTATCTTTCTCACCTCTAAACGTGTCCTAGTGCTGCAACAGTTAGCATTCTAATCAGCGTGGCTCCCAACCATCTGTGATAAGATTTCTTTGGGAGGAATCAACTCAGTCTCTAATACTCAGAAGTAGTTAATCCACTTGAGCTTAAAGCAGAAAGAAAATAGAGAAAGGAAAATTGCTGGGAGGGAGGGTATAGTAGTAAGGAATGTAGGGGAGGATGAATTAAATGAAACAGTGTGAGCTTTTTTATTTTTTTGCCCTAAACCTTTAGAAAATGAGAACATAATGCATCTGTATAAGAGCACATAAAAAATAATGTGAAGCAAAAATTTTTCATATTAATTACACGGAAGTTTTATAGCAGGCACTGGGATGGTCATATTACATTATCATTTCAGTTAATCTGTCCTATTTCCCCATGTGATAGTTGATGTTATCCGTATTTTATAAATGAGAAAAGTAAGACTCAAAAACGTACCATATCACCAGCTATCAGAGAATCCTTTTATTTAAACTCAAAGCCTCAGTATTTTGTTTTCAGTACCCTTAGTAACAGTCTTATATTAGAATTCAACAAATTTTTGTCAAGTATTTACCATGAACCCCAAATTATGATGCCGTTAATCTTATTTCATCCTTAAAATAATCCTATGAGGTCAGTATTATTATTCCAAATTTTTTTTTTTTTTTGAGACGGAGTTTCGCTCTTGTTACCCAGGCTGGAGCGCAATGGTGTGATCTCGGCTCACCGCAACCTCCGCCTCCTGGGTTCAGGCAATTCTCCTGCCTCAGCCTCCCGAGTAGCTGGGACTACAGGCACGCGCCACCATGCCCAGCTGATTTTTTGTATTTTTAGTAGAGACGGGGTTTCATCATGTTGACCAGGATGGTCTCGATCTCTTGACCTCGTGATCCACCCACCTCCGCCTCCCAAAGTGCTGGGATTACAGGCGTGAGCCACCATGCCCGGCCTATTATTCCAAATTTTTATCACTAAGGGAATTGGGGTGCAAAATAAAGAGAATTAAGTTCCTGAAGTTTTAGTAAGTGTCAGTAGAAATACAAGACAGGAATTCAAGTTCCTGTAAAACTAGGTCTCTTCAAATTGGCCTTTTTCCTGCTCTCTTTGGAAAAATCCTTCTCATATTGACATCTCTCCCAACTTTTTAGCCTTTTACGATATTTCTCCCTTTGTCTAGAGGACCTACTGAAAGAAATATTTAGGAAGAAAGTCACTTAATTATTACAACCACTTGGGAACATATATATTATCAGTGTTTATTCTTCCAATAACAATATAGGGCATATGTTAACAGATTAGCCAGTACAATCATATCCTTAAGGGCCACTACTTTGGTGAAAAGGTAAAAAGACCTGAGTGTGAAGTTGGTATCTGAGGCATCTTTGTTATGAGAGTTTGAGCAAATATCTGAAACTTTATGATTCTCATATAAAAAACGCCATTATTGGAACATCATCCTGGATCACATGTTCAAGATGTCCAGCATACAATTAAAAATATACATTAGAAATCCAAGGAAGAAGAAAAATGTGACCTATATCAAGACATAAAATTGTCAATAGAAACAGTCACAGAGGTGATTCAGATGATTAAATTAGTAGACAATAACTTTAAAATAGCTATTGAAATTATGTCCAAGAAAAGGATGGACATATGAGAAAATAGATGGAGGATCTCAGCAGAGAAATGAAAACTGTAAAAAAGAACCAAATGGAAGATCTAGAATTGAAAAGTGCATTATCAAAAGTAAAAAATTAACTGGATGATTGTACTGAAGTTTTGTCTATTTATTATACCAAATACTGACAAGAGGGTAATAAAACCTCAATTATAATTATGAATATGTATATTTTTAACTTAATATTATTGTATTTTGCTTTATAAAGTTTTAAATTCTGTTATTAGATGCACAACTGTGATGGCTATTTTTATGTGTCCACTAGAGTGGTCCATAGGGTGCCCAGACACTTTGTCAGTTTTCTGGCTACATCTGTGAGGGGGTGTTTTAGATGAGGTCGACATTTGAATTGCTAGACTGAATACAACTGATTGCCTTCTGTCATGTGGGTAGGCCTCATTCGATTAGTTGACAGCCTCAATAGAATAAAGAGTTTGACCCTTCCAAGGGTAGTAGGGAACGCTCCTGCTTTATTGTCTTGAATTGAGACATAAGTTATTTTTTGATCTTCAGACTAGAACTGAAACATCAGCTCTTCCTGCGTCTTCCAGCTCTCAGACTGGAACTACGTGATTGGCTCTCCTGGGTCTCCAGCTTACCAACTGCAGATCTGGGGACTCCTCAGCTTTCAAAACTACATGAGTTAATTTGCCTTATTGTTTTTTATGGCTGCATAGTATTCCACGGTGTATATGCACCACACTTCCTTTATCCAATCTGTGAATGATGGGCATTTAGGCTGATTCCATGTCTTTGCCATTGTGAATAGGGCTGCAATGAGCATCTGAGTGCATGTGTCTTTGTGGTAGAATGATTTATATTCCTTTGGGTGTATACCAATTAATGGAATTGGTGGGTTAAATGGTAGTTCTGCTTTTAGCTCTTTCAGGAATCACCACACTGCTTTCCACAATGGTTGAACTAATTTACACTCTCAACAATAGTGTATAAGCATTTCCTTTTCTCCACAATCTTAAAGCATCTGTTATTTTTCTTTTCCTTTTTAATAATAGCCATTCTGAGCGGTGTGAGATGGTATCTCATTGTGGTTATATTTGCACTTTCTAATAATCAGTGATATTGAGTTTTTTTTCCATATGCCTTTTGGTTGCATGTATGTCTTCTTTTGAAGTGTTCATATCTTTTGCTCATTTCTCAACGGGGTTGTCTTTTTTTTCTTGTAAATTTAAGCTCCTTATAGATGCTGGCTATTAGACCTTTGTCAGATCACAGTTTGCAAATATTTTCTCTCATTCTGTAGGTTGTCTGTTTATTCTGTCGATTTTTTTTTCCTGTATAGAAGCTCTTAAGTTAATTAGATCCTGTTCGTCAATTTTTGCTTTTGTTGCAATTGCTTTTGGCATCCCTGTCATGAAATACTTGCCTGTTCCCACATCCAGAATGGCATTCCCTAGGTTGTCTTCCAGAATTTTTATAATTTTGAGTTTTACATTTAATTATTTAATACATTTTGAGTTGATTTTTGTGTATGGTATAAAAAAGGAGTCCACTTTCAATCTTCTGCATATAAATAGCCAGTTATCACAGCACTATTTATTGAATAGGGACTCCTCGCCCTTTGCTTGTTTTTGTCAGCTTTGTTGAAGATCAGATGTTTGTAGGTGTTACCTTATTTCTGGGCTCTGTCTTAGTTCCATTGGTCTATGTGTCTGTTACTGTGCTAGTACCATGCTGTTTTGGTTACCATAATCCTGTATATAGTTTGAGGTCAGGTAATGCCTCCAGCTTTGTTCTTTTTGCTTAGGATTACCTCAGCTATTCAGGCTTTCTGGCTCCATATGAATTTTTTAAAAGTTGTTTCTAGTTCTTGCAGCTGATAGCTTGCAGTAAATGCCAAGAATGAGTACTCAGACAATTCCAGCTGAGAAGGGCGGGGAGCAACTCTTCTGAGAGAGTGCTGCTCCAAGACCCCTCCGCCAAGTATTTATTGAAAGAGCTTGTTAAACGACAAACATCCACCAGATTGCTTTTTGAAGCCAGGTCCTGAGACACATATGACATTGTAAAAGCAATCAAACCACATTCTCAGCAGGCTGTTTTCAGTGTTCCTTATCACACACCCCACTCCTTGTCCTGTTTTCAGGGTCAAGGAGTTACAGTCTCATGCACAAACAACACACACAGAGTGCCTCAGTATTTTTCCATGCCCTGACCTCAAATGCCTTGGACATAAGCTTGAATGTGTTGTTCTGTGCTGAATGACATTGGTAGTTTGATTGGAATATTACTGGATCTGTAAATTGCTTTGGGCAGTATGGCCATTTTAATAATGCTCATTTTTTCTGTTCGTGAGCATGGAATGTTTTACCATCTGTTTGGGTCATCTGTGACTTCTTCGAGCAGTGTTTTGTAATCCTCACTGTAGAGATCTTTCACCTTTCTGATTAGCTATATTCCTAGGTATTTTATTATTTTGTTGCAACTATGAATGAAATTGCTTTCCCGATTTGGCTCTCAGCTTGGCTGTTGTTGGGTATAGAAATGTTAGTGATTTGTGTACATTGATTCTGTATCCTAAAACTTGCTGAAATTGTTTATTAGCTGAAGGAGCTTTTGGGTAAAAACTATGGGGTTTTCTAGATATAGAATCATATTGTCATAGAATCTCTTACAAATAGGAAGAGAGAAAATCAAACTATCCCTGTTTGACTTTCTATTTCTATGCTTTTTATTTTTTTCTCTTGATTAATCGGTCAAGAGACTATGTTGAATAGAATGGTGAGAGAGGCCATCTTTGTCTTATGCTGGTTTTCAAGGTGAATGCTTTGAGCTTTTCCTCATTCAGTATGATGTTGGTTGTGGGTTTGTCATAGATGGTTCTCATTATTTTAAATGTGTTCCTTCAATACCTAGTTTATTAAGAGTTTTTAACATGAAAACACATTGATTTTTTTCAAAATACTTTTCTGCATCTGTAGAAATAATCATGCGATTTTCAACATTATTCTGTTCATGTGATGAATCTCATTTATTGATTTGCAGATGTCAAACTGATCTTGCTTCTAGGGATGAAGACTACATGATCATGGTAGATTAGCTTTTTGACGTCCTGATGAATTCTGTTTGCCAATATTTTGTTGCGGGTTTTTGCATCAATGTTTATTAAGAATATTGGCCTGAAGTTTTATATTTTATTGCTCGTGTGCCTCGTCCAGGTTTTAGTATCTGTATGATGCTAGCCTCATAGAACAAGATGGAGAGGAGTTCCTCATCTGAAATTTTTTAGAATAGTTTTAATAGGAATGATACCAGATCTTCTTTGTATATCTAGTAGAACTTGGCTGTGAATTCATCTGGTCCTGGACTTTTTCTAGGTTGGCAGGTTTAATTTTAAGAGCTAATTATTAGTCTTTTCAGGGAGTCAGTTTCTTCCTGGTTTAGTCTTGGGAGGGTATAGGTGTCTAGGAATATATCCATCTCTT